GTACATGCCATTACTCGAATTCATGTTGAATGCTTCGGTATGTTTAATGAGACTAGATTCTATTATGTTCCTACTATCAATTGAATTACAAGGTAATATTGAGGAGGCATTATCCCAGTCAATGCAATGCTTGTTATCCCTCAAATGAACAAACAGAGCATTGGATTCCTGGCCTGTCCTAACACTATATTTATGTTGTTTAAGTCTAGTTACAAGATCTTTACCTGTCTGGCCTAAGTAAAACATATTACATTCCTTGCAAGGAACTTTATAAATGCAACCAATTGTGTTGTTGGGGGAGTTCTTGATTAACATTTGTTTAACAGTGCATGAGTTTTTAAATGCCACATTGACGTCCCAGGTTTTTAGTTGTAAAGGAATGTGTGAGAAATTTTTGTGAAATGGTAATATTAAGAGAGAGAGAGAGAGAGAGAGAGAGATTTGCCCCACAAGAAGGCTAGTTATTGGGCAGCCCCTTGCATCCTGTGCAAGGCGAAGCGCAAAAACGTTTAAAGCACCCAACTCTGAAACGTAACGCTGTCCTCGGGTGTGTTTGAACTGGTGACCTTGAACAACGACAGATCTTCGTGGTCAGTGATGAGGGGGTGCTCTGTGTTATTGACTTAAGTGTATTTATGTCAAACCGTAAACATGCTTCAGTAAATACCAAAGTCTGTATACGTATTTTACACACACACACACTTTTATACTATAATTTATATAATCCTCATCAAGTCTTCAAACAAGTAAATTTCATTAACTTTTCCCTTAGCGTATTGCCATTGAGATATGTCATTAACCTTAAGGAGTTTAGACCGATGAAAGTTTGGACTGTAGCGTAGCGTATGTGGCCAACATACTCATGTACATAAAGGAGATCTCGCACTCAGGATGGAGGTGAGAAAGAAAACTCACAATAACGTTCTCTTTACATGTATTATATGTGCAGTGCAGTAAGATGCAGGGGAGTTGCTGGCTTGTAGAGAAGCTTGTTGAGAAGAGGTCTTGCTGGTTTGAGAGCTCTGAGTAGAATGACCTTGATCTTGATCTTGATCTTGATGTCTTTAGTTAAGATCGGAAAGAAGGAAGACGTAGGAATTAGGGGGAGGGGATAGAAATATAAATGTAGAGTTTAAATGAAGTTTTTCTTGTTGTTATTTCCTTTTTTATTATTGGGTCGTCAGACCTTTGTTTTTGTTTTTTTATTTGTTGTGTTCTCGTTTTTTCTGCTTTAACATATAAGTTTGCATTGCTTTTTTTTCGGTTTACGGCAGAATCGTATAAATACCCCTCTGCCGCAGAGGGGTATTTATACGATTCTGCCTACTCAGTACTCAAGGTCCAGAGATGCAAGATGAAAGGCGCCGCTGATTTACTGAGGTGAAGGCGGTAACTGGCCAATCTGCGAGCGACTCGGGGGCAGGAGCTGTGGTATGGAACTCACTGCTGACTGGCTCAGGCGAAGACGGGAGAGCAGTTGTAGGGGAGAGTGTCCTAGTAGTGACAACAGGACACTTGAGTAATTCAGTCGTATGTGAGGTTCACTGTTCAAAGAAACACATTCTAACAGTTGCACTTTATGATTTGTTAAATACAGGGCGCTTGGTACAGACCCGGAGCACAGCCGGAGTTTCACTAGGAAGAAGATAGTTGTTGGTATGGAATAAGAACATAAGAACACAACAGGCTGGTTGGCCTGTGCATGGCTCCATCCGGGAGTTACAACCACCGCGACCTGATAGAGGTGTATAAGTGGAAGTCAGGGCTAAACAAAGGGGACATTACAAAGGTACTCAAACTATCCAACCAGGAGCGAACTCGTAACAATGGTTTTAAATTAGACAAATTTAGATTTAGGCGTGAAATAGGTAAACACTGGTTTGGAAACAGAGTAGTGGATGAATGGAACAAGTTACCAAATATCATCATTAACTCGAATACGCTGAATAGCTTCAAACATAGGTTGGATGCTTATATGAGCAATAGGGGTTGGGTGTAAACGGGACTGCCCAGTATGGGCCAATAGGCCCGCTGCAGTTTCCTCCATTCTTATGTTCTTAGCCTCCTTTTAAGACGTTCCAGCGTCCCAGCACTTACTAAAAAGTTGCTAAGCTTGTTCCACTCATCTACCGCCCTATTTGTGAACCAGTTCCTTCCTATCTCCCTCCTAAACCTAAACTTATCCAACTTAAATCTGTTGCTACGAGTCCTATCCTGCTCGGATATTATAAGGACTTTATCTACAGTATATCTCCGTGATTGATTCCTTTTACCCACTTAAATACTTCTATCATATCTCCCCGCACTCTTCATCTTTCTAGGGAATGCAAGTTTAGTTTCTTTAATCTATCTTTATAGGGAAGGTTTCTAAGTCCCGGAATCATTTTTGTCATTCTTCGCTGCACCGACTCTAGTGAATTGATATCCATTCTATAGTAAGGGCACCAGAACTAACAGCATAGTCGAGGTGCGACCTGACTAGCGCAAGATATAGTTGCAATAAGACCTCTGCACTCTTATTACTTACACTTCTAGATATAAAACCTAATACAGTGTTTGCCTTATTTCGAACATTAACGCACTGTTTTCTAGGCCGTAGGTCCGGGCTTACGAGTACCCCTAGGTCTTTTTCACAAGTTGACTTCTCTAGTTCGATGTTGTTATGTGAGAAACGCAGTGTAAATACATTCCTAACTTTCAAGTGATGAATAGTTAGTTATCTAGTTACCTGTAATACTTAGGTACCGTTACTAGGCAACAAACAGTTGTGTGGATACAAACGTGACTAAACCAGGAAGGCTGATATATGGAGGTAGCATTAGTGCACCTGGCTTAATCCTTTTATGTTCCTCCACTTTATCTTCGTCAGCATAAGTCAATCATCATAGACTTTAGAACGTGTGTGTTAGCAAACAGTTCCATCGGTCAGGTTACATAACTTCATGAGTCGGGTGAAACATCAAATTCTTTGTATTTGAAAATTTTAATTTTAATTAAAACATGATATTTCAGGACTGTAGTTAACATCGTTGGGTATTAGACCTCAATATCTTTTGAATATGATAACAGGGAAGTAATTGTGGTGTAGTTACAATGATAGGGATCAAGGTAGATGCAACTTGAGTGGGATCATGCTCTGAGTACTACAGTATGTATACTATACATATTTGTTAACTATTCCAGTAGGCACTTCTTATTGGATATTACAACGGGTGGTTATAAAAATTCTTGAAATGCAAATATGGTTTAAACGGAAACTGATGAATGATTTTCCCAACAGGATTTATGTAAGCGCTGGAAACGTTAGGCCTCGTGATACTTGCGTGAGGTGATTATTAGGACCAGAACAACCATCGCCACTTTTCACACTGAACTTGAAATATTATTACATAACTAAACTAGTTGGACCAGATTCTCTTCCCGCCTCGGTCGACAGACGAAGGTGGTGAAAGCGATACCAGGAAGCAGTCCATGAATTCTCCCTGACAATTACAAACCTATTATATTACCAGCAATAAAAGTTTTTAGCTATTAGTAGGCCTTTATTACTTTAGTAGCAGTTTAAGTCTTCGTGTAAAATAGAGTAGTCCCATAAAAATCATTGATGTGGACATATCGAGATTGTTCTAGACGGCAGGAGGGGATGGAGGCGCGGCAAGGAGGTCGCTCCCGCTGAGGCTCCTGACTATTGGCGGGATGGAAGGGAGTGGCACCTCGGACACGTGATCGCCGTCTCCCACGTGCCGCACCCTCACTCCCTCTCTCTTCACGATCAATACTACTCATTTAAAAATATCAAAATACATATGAGAATGCTTAAGAACTGATATGAAGTTTCCAGCTTATATATTCTGGAAAAGCGAAACAGGTAAAATATTCCAGTTCCATTTCAGAACTATAATTTCTTAAAGGCATTTACCTTAAATTCCATACTTCCATATGGTGCAGATGTATATGATGAGGATATTTTGATTTTTTTTTTGTGAATTTGTTGTGATTTTGTGGAGTGTCGTGACTTGTCAAGCACCACGTGGTTGCACCGGTGTTATCTAATGCAGCAGGCAGGAAGGGGGTGGGGGTGGGGGTGGGTGTTCGCTTGGCGCCGCACATGACCACCTCCGTCACTCATTTCCTTTAATACAGTACTTATATCTGGTACATTTAATTCCATGTATGAAGTATCAGCAGTGTAAGGGCGAGCCTATCTTCAAGGTCACCACTTGTTGTGATAGCAACTAATAGTGATCAACTGGCGCTTTTTATTTGTTTTCATTTTAATGTTATTGGACTATCTGTAGTGTTTCATTGTTGTTTAATTATTGGATGGTATGATTTGATTTCATCTAAGCACTAATAGAATAAGTTTTAAATAATGTGTGGGTAGAAAATATTTTAAATAAAATAATGGTGATGGTATCATGGGGTTGTACTCCATGCACTCAGCTGGTCGTTTTTTCTGTATGTCAGGATTTACAGGAAGTAAGCGGAATCAAAGGTAATGTTGCTATTTTGTGCATCAGCATTACGTGAAAATTTTGATTAAGTGTCCTCTCTATAATGCCCGTGAGGAAATATGTTGTTGAAGCAAAACAATTAAACGAAGTCAGCTGTTTTGTGACGTCACTCGCCCTTGAGGGCTCAGTCGCGTTTCCCGGCCAGTCTTCTGAAAGCAAATTTATTAGTTGTGAAGTAAATAATGTCTTGTTAGTTTTATATCGACAAAAATAATACTAATAATTGAACAATTGAATTTAATTTAGTATCAAGTGATGTTTTCATAGTGTAATATATGAAAAACAAGCTATCGGTACATTATTGGAACCCTATCTTGTTGTTATTGCCGCCATATTGTGTGACACAGTTTCAATGTTGAAGTGAAATCCAAACGTTTAATCTCATATTTGCCCCTGGGCTGTATGCTGGTTGCAGACTAGCTCAACGAGAGTCATAGGTTTGCACAAACTTTGAAAGGTAAGACTATACGGTGCGGAACAATTGTCAATGGTGATAGGTGGCGGTGGGTGTTTTACGTGTCATCTCACGTCACCGCCTACGACTTTGCTCTCGTAGAATAAAACTGTGATTTTTTCCTTATTTCACCGTCACTAATCCAGGTATTGATCGAAAATATGTGTTCTATGCACATTAACAAAGAATGACATCATGTTACACGTGTTTTATGGCGTCAGAGGTGTGAAACGAGCAAGTGAGTTGATAATGTTCAGGATCTTCCTCTCTTAGGTTCACACTAAACAAACCTCAAGACAAAATGACACAGGTTCTATTTTAATTTTCATAGTACACTATAACAGAAATGGTATTTTACACATAGCTTATGGAGGATATAAAAACTTAGAAATTGTTATGCATGTTATGATCTTGTTTTAGTTATATTACCTAGGGTATTTTGCTACTGTATAGCCTTATGTTTTGTGCTGGGCTTATCATCTTAGACTCTTATTTAAACGTGATATTTCTTTTCTTCCTGGGGGTGCATTGTACATATTCTTGATTCTTCTTTTGATTAGTATTTATTACTTGTGTAATTAGTAGTTTGTTAAAATCAGTTATAGTTTGATGACTTTTTCATTCAAATTCACTCAAGTGCCTAAGGAACATTGCATCTTTTTTCTCAGTAAATGCAGTGGAAATAAGCTTTTTATAGCTTTCTTGGGTTATCTTTTCTTCAATTCACTAAGTGTTTAACATAGTATACCTACCACTGTCTATACCCTTATATATATGTATGTTGAACCTATGGGAACTTGTATGACGATTTTTCTGAATAAATCCTATCTCTCTTGATCAAATCTTGTTTTCTTGCACCACTGCTGGATGTTCATCCTTTGCATTAAAAGTAATGAAAGTCCCAAAGAAAACAAACTGTTGTGAAAGTGGTGAAACAAAACTTACCTTTATATTCCTTCAAAGGGTTTGTGTAAAATGCTTACAGTAAATCATTGTATTGCATAAATACGGAATAAAAACTAAAAGTCGTTGGCCATTATTCCAATTATTGTAAGTGGTTCTTTACTCATGATAGTATTCTTGTTAACTGCTTTTTTCTTTTCTTGAGTGACTTGATTATTTTTAAAGTTTTATGAATTTTGAACATTTCCAGAGATGAACCTTGGCACAGCACTTCCTTGGAACTATTTTATCTTATTTTTGAACATGTATTACTATATTTTGTATACAAGCATCATAGGCCAACATATGTTTACAGGAAAGTATAAAAACAATCCATAGTCCTTGGGGTCAATAAATGTGCAAGTTTTGTAATTTTGCAAGTTTTAAAATTATGACTCGCAACTTGTGACCTGAACATAACGTAGAGTAAAGCGGCTGTTTAAATTGCTTGTACACAAACCTGTCAAGGTTGCCAAAATGACCAGTACAAGATACGTACTACTTCACAACTCTACATTCAGCACAATCACTTGAATGCTTTTTGGGTGTCATTATAGGTGTAGAGTTCAGGGAAATATAACTCAAATAAATAAGGATGGAGCTTTACTGCTATAAATGCAGTCAGCGAGAACAGTGACTAGGTGGTGGTGTGGGGTACAATAGTGCATGTTAAACGGAGGATTTGATCCAACTGGACCATGAATTTAGGATGTTCACGATTTTGGAAGCATGTAATTTAATGTTTTTAGCTGCAGGATTTGATACATTATTATACAGACTTTTATCACACTTGTTAAGGATGTTTTGATAGATAATTTAGAAATTAACTTTCCTGTACAGTAACAACAGTATTTTGTTCTCTTGCCAAACTACTCTACATTGAATTTGTAAAGTTGCACTTTATTTTGATTGGTTGCTACAAATGTACATGTATCTGAAACATTTGCTCTGCAACTGTACTATTTAGTAAATTTAATCTTGTTAAGGTTACTTGGCTTGTTTATTTGGAAGCATCCTAGACAAAGGCTCTATGCCTGTATGCATAGTTCTAAGTTTCAAATTTTGTTTATCTCAAGAGCTCTGAAATAGATGAATTATAAATTAGAAATTGCATGACTTATCTGAAAGTATATCATGGGTTTTTATGTAGCTTATAGATCTGTGGAGTCAGTGCAAAAGCTTGAAATATAAATATAGTACTGTAGTCTGCTCTTTCCTAATGAAAATTTTATTTTGATAAATGCAGAAACTAATTTTTAAAAAGGAGCCACTCATGAAATAACCAACTCCAAAGTTTGAATAATTGCTTACAAGATGTGTCAAGCTCAGCAGAGGGAGGATGTAAAGCATCCTGTTTAGTAAACAGGAAAAATTATATCCCTTCTGTACTTATCATCAGTGTTTAATGGACATTTTCCACACTTGCTTGGGTTAGCCTCGATTACTGATGGCAGCTCTCCATGCCGCACAATCTTGCAGCTTATGTCAGGTTTTTAAATCTTAAGTAGCTTACAACACTTCTTTATGTAATTTTTGGCCTTCCTCTGTCTTTCCTCCCTTCCACATTTACTCGTGCATCTCTTGACCCAATTGGTCTCCTCCATCCTCTCCGCATGCCCAAACCATCTTAGCCTACCTCTTTGCAAAGCATTGTCAATACACTACAATCAATACACAGCTGTTCCCTTAGCTCTTAACAGGGTTCTATCTCACTTTACACAACCAACTCACCATTCTCAAAGCAGCCCACTCTAGTCTACTTATGTCATCATCTTGAACTGTCCATGTTTCACTGCCATATAGCACCACATTTATCACCTCTATTTAATGAACTGTGGAGACAAAAGTTTGTTTTATCGAACATCTGTAAGATGCGAAACCTCCATCTAACGAACTGTATAGAGATGAAAATCCGCTCTTTCGAGGGTCTTTTAGATGTGAAAGAGAAGTCCGTTATATGGAGGTTTCAAGGTACTGTACATTCCTCCTTTCAATCTTAGGGATGGTCCCCTAAATTTTTCCAGCCAGTTCATATTATTGCAACCAAGATAACGCCAGTATACTTTTGCCACGTACATTCCCAAGCCATCTGACTCCAATCCATCCTTCCATCACCATTCTTAAATTTTTCCACTGCTTCTTCAATACAAACTGCTATCAGCATAATAACAACTCACAGGACAGACCAATCCTTAAGTTCTGTGATCTAGTATTATGATTAACAGAAGGGGCCCAACTTAGACCTTGATGAACCCTCGTACTTTCACCTCAAAATCCTCTCGTTCCTAGCCCCCTCCTCCTTATTTTTTGGGCCCACATATAATGTCATAAACACTCATACAAGACATTTCCACCCTTGGCTTTTTCATAGCCCACAAACACAAAGTACTGTACAACTGTTTGTACTTCTAGGACTAGATATTATTCTTATAGTTACCTGTCAGTAAACATTGCCTCTGTAGTCCCTGTAGCTACCTGCCATGAACCCATGCTGCATTTTGTTAATATCCACACCATCCCTTATCAGTTTTTTATTACTCTTTCCACAACTTAGATAACCAGATCTAACATCTTCAGGAAGAAGAAATAGGAATGCTTATTGTGGTATAGCTTGCCAGCTTTTGTGGGAAACAAGGAATTAGTTTTACCATCCTGATGTCAGCAGCATCATTGTTCTTTTAAGGTTTTCCATTTAGCCAGCTTGACAAGAATGGACAAAATTTATCACCACTGTACTTTTTTTCACTGGTTTAGACAACAGCAGCCAGGGAAAGGAATGGGCTACTTTGTCAATTTATGAACCTCATAGGTTGAAGCTAAAACTATAGAATGCCAGACAAGTTATATGATGGTTGGTTCAAGTTAGTTTATTCCTGTAGTAGCATCAAGGTCTAAGAGCAGTACCAGATTAATGCTTGAGCAAAATGAGTTGGAACAGTCCTTGAGGCTCTGAGGGGCTTCAGCACCACAGAGTAGAAATTATTTTTTTAATATTCAGAATGATTTAATATCAACCAGTATTGTATTAAATGTTTTTGAAAAAAAAACCTGGAAATAAATTACTACAAGATGATTATCATCCCTAGAGCAAATGTATTGATTTTTTTTTTCATGAAGTGGTGTTTGGAAACAAACATGGTGGCCCATTGAAATATCCATCTCAGGGCTTCATGAATGCTTAATCTGGTCATGTCTTGGGGTGGGCATTGCTAGAAATTTGCTCAAAAAATTTACACTTGGCACCTTTCATTTTATCCTAATGTGCAGTTTTTGGGTAATGAAAGAGATCATTATTTAATGTACTGATGTATAGTACAGTACTGTATTACACAGTTTAGATGCAGTGTAGATAGAAAAACATAGTTATGAATTATCATATTCAGTATCTTGGTCTGATTGCTGTACACGAAGGTCAAATGATCTTTGTAGCTGTGAAGATGTTAGAGTACTATACAGTATTTGTGAGTTCATTGTGGGATATACTGTCATATGTTTTCTCTTAAAAATATTCATCTCTAGCTAGGTTGTGTGGCAGTAAGCTCAAAAGTAATCAGATGTAATTACAGTACATCTGTGTCAATTGTAGTAACTGTACAGTTATTGAGAAAATATGTCAAGCGAAGATTAAGAAAGTTGTAACCTGATTTGTTTGGTACTGAATGGAGCAGAAAACACAGTGAAGGGTGTGAGGTGTCTGGATACATTGTGTGGAGGAAGATATAAAGTGTAGTTTCAGGTTATTTAGCATAACATTGAAAGTGGATGCAACAAAAAGTTCACTATGTTACAGGTGATGTGAAGGTTGTGGTGTTGAAAGTTTGAGTGTAGATAGAAGTCAGAGTTCAGTAATTGTTGTGTGTGTATAGTTTATACTATGCGTGTTATAAAACTTTTCCAGTACAGGTACTTGTTGCTGGGTGTATTGTGGTAAACATCCTGTACTTGTTGCTGGGTGTATTGTGGTAAACATCCTGTACTTGTTGCTGGGTGTATTGTGGTAAACATCCTGCACTTGTTGCTGGGTGTATTGTGGTAAACATCCTGTACTTGTTGCTGGGTGTATTGTGGTAAACATCCTGTACTTGTTGCTGGGTGTATTGTGGTAAACATCCTCTACTTGTTGCTGGGTGTATTGTGGTAAACATCCTGTACTTGTTGCTGGGTGTATTGTGGTAAACATCCTGTACTTGTTGCTGGGTGTATTGTGGTAAACATCCAGTACTTGTTGCTGGGTGTATTGTGGTAAACATCCTGTACTTGTTGCTGGGTGTATTGTGGTAAACATCCTGTACTTGTTGCTGGGTGTATTGTGGTAAACATCCTGCACTTGTTGCTGGGTGTATTGTGGTAAACATCCTGTACATCCTGTACTTGTTGCTGGGTGTATTTGTGGTAAACATCTCTACTTGTTGCTGGGTGTATTGTGGTAAACATCCTGTACTTGTTGCTGGGTGTATTGTGTGTAAACATCCTCTACTTGTTGCTGGGTGTATTGTGTAAACATCCTGTACTTGTTGCTGGGTGTATTGTGGTACTTGTTACTGGGTGTATTGTTAAACATCCTGTACTTGTTGCTGGGTGTATTGTGGTAAACATCCTGTACTTGTTGCTGGGTGTATTGTGGTAAACATCCAGTACTTGTTGCTGGGTGTATTGTGGTAAACATCCTGTACTTGTTGCTGGGTGTACGGTATTGTGGTAAACATCCTGTACTTGTTGCTGGGTGTATTGTGGTAAACATCCTGTACTTGTTGCTGGGTGTATTGTGGTAAACATCCTGTACTTGTTGCTGGGTGTATTGTGGTAAACATCCTGTACTTGTTGCTGGGTGTATTGTGGTAAACATCCTGTACTTGTTGCTGGGTGTATTGTGGTAAACATCCTGTACTTGTTGCTGGGTGTATTGTGGTAAACATCCTCTACTTGTTGCTGGGTGTAGTGTTGGTTGGTCTGTTTTGGTTAGCCATGGTGGAGGACTTGCTAATTATGGAGTGGTAAAATTCTGATCACTAAGTTTGCTGTTGTGAGATAGAGTGGTGTACTTGCTAATTGTAATGTGGCAAACCAATTACATGGTGTTTGGTAGGTATGCTGAGGTAAAACATTTGCTTGGTGTGTTGTGGCAAAACTGCTGGTTGCATGTTATGGATTGGGATTATTTTGTTGGTGTTTAAGTGGTTGAATATATTGTTGGTGGCACTTGGTACATCTTCAGTAAAGCTGTTTGTTTTGCTGCTGGTTTGTGGTTGCTGTTAATAGAATTCAGATTGTTTGATTGTACACCACCTTCAGGATTCCATTTTTAGTTAAGCTATTTTTACACCACCCATTGAAGTCTGTGACTAACTCTGCAGGTGTTTTGACAGTTCCACTTTTGTAACACTCTTGTGAAACCTCTTTTTTTGTCAATGTGGTGGGTTTCAGGATTACAATTGTTAATATTTTTAACTTTTCAATGTTGTGATGATTAGGAATTTAAATGAATGTGTCCTTGTTTTCAGGAATTCTGGTTCAGTACCTGTAGTAATAAAGCACATCTGTCTGTTGAATGTAATGCAACTTTGATTTTGTGCTTAAGCTGCATTATGACTGTTAATGCTGATGTGTGTTAGATTGTCCAATATAAATGTTTACTGTTAAAATATTTGTGGTGTTGTGATACGGAAGGTAGACTCCATTGGTGTGCAGTGTTATAGGTTATTGAGTAAGAAATGTAACATTGATATTATAGCACCATGATTGGAGATAAGAGTGAAAGATAAGGGCAAGTGGAGATAAACTTATTAAATGGTGGAGGTGTGTACATTTGGCTTGTATTACGACACAGCTGTAGTAGGAAGGTCAGCACACTTGTGCTGACCTCTGATTCTAAATTAGTAGGTGGTCCTGTATTTACTGTTATATTAAAGTTTAATTTCAATGCAGTGCTGATGGTGAATGAAATTAATATTTCACGCTTCAGATTTGGCATACTACATGTATTATTGATAAGTGATAATTTAAGAGCAATCACCTGACATGTTGCTGTTTAGTTAATGTTAAGAGTTTAATGTCTATTTTATTCACATCCAATTTATCTATACTACACTGTACAGTATAAAGTACAGCACTGTATTATGGATGAAAACTTAAGCAATTGATTTTTTTTTTACTACTGCAATAAATGTACAGTAGTATGTTATGTAGTTGTGTGGAATGTATCATAAATTATAAATTAAAAGTTTAATAACTTATTTTTACCAGTACAGTATATACTCCATGCTTCTTAATATTTCACAGACACGCACAATCATCATCATCGTTATTGTTTTATGGCTATTTTCCATCTTGCACGGGCTAGCCACACTGTATATTGTGTATGTGCTTGTGCATGCGTGTGTATGGGTACCCATCATGTGGTTAGGATCTTAAAATTGTCTTTTGTGTAGTTCCAGGGGTTGTAACAGCTGCTGGGATGGACTCTGAGGACAGTGGTGGAGGAATAGCAGACACATCAACCTATCAGGTAATTATTGACAGTAAGGTAATGTGAATCATGGCATAAAGGAATTAAGGCTGAGGGTCGAGTTGAAATGAAGTAAGGTCACTCGATATTGTATATGTGGCTTCCAGGCAAAAAAAGAAAAGAAAAGCAGGTTGAGAGCGAGATATGTGTGCGTGTGTTGTGTGCATGTGTTGTGTGTGTGCGTGTGTGTGTGCGTGCGTGTGCATGCGTGTGTGTGCGCGTGCATGCGTGTGTGTGTGTGTGCGCGTGCGTGCATGCGTGTGTGTGTGTGAAGAAACTTAATCCTATACAGTGTATGTGGAAATATAACCCTGCCCATGAATTGGTACAATGGCAGTGTAAATATTGTAATGGTACTTTACGATAACTTAATGGACGGTATGGGTACTGTAGTTACTGCTGGAGACTACCTCGTGTTATCTCTTTCTTTAACCGCCAAAAGACCTTGTGTTACAGTATCAACACCTGACCAGCTTTAGTGTGATTTGCTCTTTTAAGTTTATCAGGTGGCCCTTGTCACTTGCTGATCAAACCTACCAAGTCTGGTGCAAAACTCCAAACCTGTTCTCAAGTTATTGTGGAGAGAGACAGACAGGACAAAAAACAACGTACAGTATTGTCCTGCATTTGTGGGCAGGGTAATAACAAAATGATCAATTACAGTACATATCTGACTGAAAATTTGGAAATACCATTAGCTAATTGAAAAAGTGTCTGTGTGGCTGAAGCCTCAGAGGTTTGATTAATCATTCATATAGATTTGGAGAAGCACCTGGAAGCACAGTTTTTAAAATTTTTCTTCACGTTTACTATTTTTAACTGTGCCAGACACCTACCTGGAGTAGTAATAAGGCTGCATTATATGGTGTGCAGCAGTGTTGAAGTGTTTCACTTGTCACTGGATTTGAATGGCGACATGACTGTCCTCCTTGGTTGTTCGCTAATTGGTTTACCTGTTTCAGAAATTAGGCGTGGAGAACTCCTTTTCATAATGCTATTTTTTGCAATTGTATTTCTATATCTTATGGTCTTCTCTTTTCACTGAGTTAGTAACTTAAATGATTATAGCTGCTAGTTCATAGGGAGTGATTTAGTTCAGTGTTTTCACTGTCCTGTTATATTGTACTGTACTAGTTTACTTGGTACTGTATCTGAACCAAGAGCATGATTACCAGTAAACAAGATAGTCCATGCTTTGCATTCCTTACTGAACAGTGACATTAGAGTGAAGACTGTTACAGTACAGTATTTGATGTGAGGCTCCCACCAGTCTTAACTTAACTAATATGTTGCAGTGTTGTCAACTTCTTGCTGTTGACTGTACTGTTGTAGACCTGAATGTATTGTATTGGTGTTTAAATTGTCTGTGAGAAATAATCTGATGTGGAATCAAATGCTTTTAGACAGGTGTGACAATGTTGACATCAGTAATACCAATACAGTATGTGGGACAGTACCCTGTGCTGGTAGCTGCTGTGTTTGATATTGATTCAAGTCGGTCATGAAAGTTCCAGTGTCGTATGTCATGGTTGTACTGTATGCTCACTGTGTTAGAACCTGTATCCCTTACAATTTTATACAGTACAGTATTTACTAAAATTGTATGAGCACTTTCTAATATTTTATGGGGGTTTTATATTTACATGTTTGTATTTTTTAGAATATAATTATGTGTTTAGCTTTTAGGAATAACTAGAGTCACAAGTTTGAGAGCAAACCTTGTGAGAGAATTATGAAAATTACCAAAAATATCAAAGTGACAGAACTCAATGACAGGATAGCAACATGTTGATGGTAGTATTTTGAAGGTGGCTGGTCGGTAGAGAAACGTATGTGTATCTGTATGTGTAGTGTGCTGGCACAGGTGTGCGGAGCAGGTGTAATGTACCTGTTTATTGGTGCGAGCATATGGCTGGTTGCATCTATGACTCACCACTGTAACATGCTGATATTTGAGGGAGTCAACTTAAAGGTCATACACGACTGGATGCTTTGACCATTATTTGTTGAAAGTACAGTACAGTATTAAAAAAAAATGAGATAGTAATTTTGAACACTTAGCATTGCTTGAGGTACCTTGGTTAATTACCGTATAGATTTTTATTGAATTTTGATACGGTTTTAAGAATAACTTTGGTATTATTTATTTTCTTTTAAACTAAATACAAATGTACTGTACATTTATTCCTTTTATTTTTTTATATGCACAGTTACTATTAGATGGCAGTGTTTTCAAGAAAAAATGGAATGTCACTAAAGTTAAAAATATTGCTCCTTGGTTTTTTTTTTTTTTAAACCAAACAGTGGTGGATTTTTAATGGTACACTAATAATTTTCTGTGTTAGATGCTTAAATGAGAGTGTGGTTATATTTTTAAGAAGCTTGTCACTAGCCACCAGTTCTTTACAGTAGTATTTTTAGACTCCAAAATACTAGATACTGCAGATTATTTATTATTATTACAGTATTATTTTTTGGGGGGTAGTAGGATACATTGCACTTATGTATGACAGTTCATGTACTTTAGTGTGATATTATTGTGTTGTTGCAGGTCTTGGCTGCTCAAGATTCATACCCGAAGCAGATCTGCCAGTTTGATGAACCATCCTTGTCTATCCCCTTTGTTCCACTCAGTGGGGAATATGCACAGTTTGTGGGGCGCACCTCAGATGGACTCATTGCACTCTCCAACTACCGAGTGTTTCTGCAGCAGCGTGATGTGACGTATCATGTTCCCTTAGGGGTTATCGAGGCCATTGAATGTCGGGAGATATTCTTCCTCTACCTCCTGTGTAAAGACACAAAATCATACAAGTGAGTGTGAAGCTTTCTCATATTAACCTTTTTGTTTTCATGACCATTTTGATAATTTTACTCCACAATTGAAATTTATAATATAAACCAAGACCATATTTTATAGCAGAGTTTGGATAAGGAGACTGGGAACTTGGTCTTTTCTCCCAGTGAATTATTGTGGGGTTCAGCTAGACTGATGCTTATTTCTGGAACGTCCAAGGTGGTTGATGACGGACAAGAGTTAACTACGATGTGCGAGCAGCCTTAGCCCTCAACTATGAGTGGTAGTTTCCCCTCCCACACTCTTCTTGAAGGACTGTGGTTGCAATAAGAGAACTTTACTACAGTTTTTATTTGTTAAGTGTCAGCCTTCGGTGTCTAGGGTTAACATAGGTTGCAACAGCTAAGAGTTGGTGGGTATTGTACATGAATCTTATTGTCCCAATTTGACAATGAAATTATATATAAAATCAAGTCTTCATATAACATGATGTTTCCTTAATTAGCTAATGGGTTGCCTTTCAAGTGTACAGCTTTATGGAATAATGCATAAGACATGATTGACTCTTAACATAGATTGAGGGTCAGTTTGCCTTAGATAAATAATATAGACACAACTGATAATTCGAACATAGAAGTTGTTAAAAAAGGTAAGTTAAGATGCATAGTAGTTGTGTACAGCTGTAGGGCACCACTGTGCTGTATATGCCTATTGTATGTGCTCTTTGTATGTTAATTTGGCAATGTGATTTGTTGTTTCTAACAATGAATGCAATATACAGTACTTGGTAATAATTGTAAGAATTTTTCTTATTCGTAATTGTGAGCCACTGAAGCAAACATCTACAATTTCACCAATTTGTGAAACTTAATCACACTGACAGGCTTCAGCAGATGTTTTGTTTCACCTGGGAGAGGCAGTCTCAGTTGCGTGAGTTGCTAATTTGGTGAAAAGGAGGTTGACTTCTCGATGTCCTTGTGACGTTAGTTTTCCTTTTGATTTACTGCACTCCATTCCATCCTTTTATTATTTATTAAAAAAAAATGACCTTGAAACTGATATACTGCTTGTGGTGTCAGATAACAAGGTATAATAAACAAACATGACCTGACTGGCTTGTAGAGGTTGGGAACATATAACTAAAACATTCCTTATACAGTACTACCTAGATAAATGTTGAAAATTTGATGAGTAAATGTTCAGTATATTAAACATATCTTGATCTTTGAGTAATCATAAAATGAAAATTAATTTCTGAATTCTTCATATTGCTCATAATGATATAGTACACACTGACACACCTTATAGGGGAACCTGGACAAGTGCTCTGCAGAATTAGATCTTCACAATTACAGAGCTCGAAGTATAGTTAGTCTGCCAAATACACTACATTACAGTGCAGGCACTGTACTAATAATTGCCCAGCAAATGGATGAAGGTCTGTATGCTTAGGCCTGAAGCATGCCTTCATCCACAAGATGCAAATTGTAAGCAAGGCCTGTGATCTACAATGTTTTGGAAGGTGGCCCACACTATTATTTTTTAAACTAATATGTACTCTACATGCAATTAAATTGTGAAAACTTTTTCTGGAAATGTTGTGTACTGAATTAAAAAAAATACAGTATATACTGTACAGGGTATATATGTATAGCTGTACTGTATATATTTTTTAACAGATCCACATTTTTACAAAAGTGGAAGAGGAATAAAAATAATGCAGGATATTGAGGACTTCCTAGATTGGAGATTACTGTCCTGTAACCAAATTTTAGTCATTGATATTACAAGGGAGGCATAAAAGGAATAACCTTCATCTCATCTGCATTTTGTCTCTATACTTCAGGTGTACATTTGCAACCAATGAGCAAAGTGCTGAGTGGCAGCGACGGTTAACCAAGGCTTTAGCACTTCCTCAACGCCTGGAAAATGTTTTTGCCTTTGCATTCTACATGTGGAGTATGGAGGAAGCTCGGGACTTATACAATGCCCTTGTAGAACCAGATGGTCAACAGTCTTATGCTGTGCGTGCAGAGAAGATGTTTGATGAGGAGGTAAGCTTGTTTTAGGTGTACTACAGCAGTATTCTTACAAGTTTATTGTATGAAAGCTACGGCTTCACTTAAGTTGGTTTTGGGTATATGAATGTTCTCACAATTTCATTATACAATAACTATCACCTTACTTGGGTTTCTATCATTAATACTCAGTATGTTTGACTTTTGTTGGATGTCTTGATGGGAAGATTAATACAGTACAGTATTCCTATTTATTGATATTCATAAACCAAAGTTTTTAATTTGAAATGATGAAATATAAGAGTATTGTTAGGAAGAATTATTGAAGAACTTGTTTTCATGGCAGCCAGAAAGAGATTTAATTTTAGCCTGGTAAATGATGTGCAGGCAGTATCATAGAGAGTGTCTTCCGTCCATATTTACCCGCTTCCCCATTTGAAATACTTTTTTTTTCATCTAATGTGTTGTTTAAGTGGAATGGCAGAATAAATTTTAGTAAATTATTCACACAAGAAGTGTCCTTATTGATGTACTGAATGATTTTCTCTTTCAGGTTCGACGGCTTGGTTTTGACTTAGGAGGAGCATGGCGCATCTCTCTGGCAAACAGTGACTACCAGCTGTGTTCCACATACCCCAGAAAGGTTGTTGTACCAGCTTCCATCAACGACAACATCCTGGAATCGGTTGCTCGGTTTAGATCTGCTAGAAGGATACCAGCAGTGGTGTGGAGGTCAGCATAAATAAATTGCATTTGTAAATTATTCTTTGTCTGGGAAATTAATATTCTCATCAGCATAAGGCTTTTTTTTTTTTGTAAATCGTGATCTTGTGTGTGAACTTGATAATCTGCGTTAACCTTGACATTTTCATAAGTCATCTACAGGGTAGGAGGCCAGTTTCTGTAAAGAGGAAGTTTATTTTATTTTTTTTTCATGTACAAATATATTTTTTATTATTACAAGTGTAGAAGGGGAGAAATAAAGTAATGAAAGCTGGAGGTGTGTGGAGAGTGCCATATGGAATGTTAAAGTAACTGTACATCAAGAATTTTGAAACTGAAATGGTTTGGAATATTCTATGAAATGAGAAATTTGATTATGGTTGACAATAAAAAGGGGATTGTATTCCAGATGGACAGGTCAGGATTCTGGAGTTAAATCTGATTGAAATGGTTCAGATAGTGTGCAAAATTTAAAACTTTGGCAAGAAGGGATAGAGGATTAATTTTTTTCTGATTAAAACCCAAACACATAAGCTTAATTTTTCAGCATAAGCTTTAAATACCGGTAAGTTGATTTAGGGAGACTTGTTTACTCCGTACATCCCATTGAGCTGGAATCATAGTAAGTTCAGTAGATAAATAGTGGAATGAAATTCCCTCCTTTTGTCTTGTTTCAGACATGCCAATGGTGCAGTCATTGCACGCTGCAGTCAGCCAGAAGTAGGTTGGCTTGGGTGGCGGTCTAGTGAAGATGAAGACTTGGTGAAGGCAATTGCTGAAGCTTGTGCCTATGACAGTCCTATTTCAAATTCTGGTATTGGTGGGACAGCAACAAGTCAATTGGTGCCCCCAAATGGTGGAGAAAAGGAAGCCACAACTCCTGCTTCAGATATTCCCTCTCTTTGTGATCTGCCAGAGGCCAAAGCTCAGGCAGATATTAAGGTGAGTTTTTTATGGTAATTGTTTTTGTTACATACTCATCTGCATACATCACCTGTGACCCAATTAATTTTTATATAATTTTATCCACTGGTGATGCTCTCTCACATTCACACACTCTTGTAGGTATAATGTGCTTACTTACTGTCTATATTTACTAGTTACTACACAGGCAGTTTGTAGTAGTTGAGTTTTGTTTTATACTTTAGTCCTCCTGTAGTGACTTTTCACGGTACTGTTTGGGGGAGGTGTGATGTTTGTGTCTTCCTGAATATGTAGAAAAGTTGTCATGGATTGGTCAGTTGTTCACTAAATGATTATTATTGTAATTAAATTAATGAAGAGCTTACTGCTGTACAAGTGTACAGGTATGTTATACTGCTTAATGTGTTTGTCTGCCACACTTAATTTTATTGTATTTTTGGTTTATTTTATTTATTTATTTATTGTAATTTTTTTTTTTACAGAAAGTATTAATAGTTGATGCTCGATCTTATGCTACGGCCGTAGCCAACCGTGCCCGTGGTGGAGGTTGTGAGTGTCCAGAGTATTACCCACAGTGTGAGATTCAGTTCATGAATCTCGCCAACATTCACACTATTCGCAAGTCTCATCATGCTCTTCGTCAGCTTGCATCTTCTTCACCAGACATTCCTAAGTAATTAGGATTATTTATCAAAAGTTGTTTGGAATTTATCTCATATCCATATGACACCATAGTAAACATGGTTGTGTATAGATTATAGGGATTAGATCTTCAGTGTCAGATAGTTTTCCTTTAAAAAAACAATACTCATTGTATTCATAGCTCGTATTCAATTAGATTACTATTGTACATAATCAAGAGGCAAATATATGTATGTTTATATAATATATTTTTTTTCTCTCCCCCTTCAGTTGGTTATCCTTACTGGAGAGCTCTCGGTGGCTTGGGCATCTTTCAGGGTTACTGAAAGCTGCTGTGACTGTTGTGCAGGCAGTAGTGCGTGAGGCCAGGCCCGTTTTAGTTCACTGCTCTGATGGATGGGACCGGACACCCCAGATAACGGCACTCGCGCAACTTCTAATGGATCCCTACTATCGAACTATACATGTAAGCTGAGCCACAGTTAATTAATTTTAGGTGTGATGCCGTAACAGAACAGACTTTCTTTCCATGATACTCATTTGAATAGCTGGGGCTGATTTGTGCAGTTTTCACTACTACTAGGCATTGTGAGTACTGGCAGATCTCTTTGAACAGAAACCAAGTTTAGTATCCAGGCTCTTTACTAAGTTGGCTCTGGGTAGATCCTGTATCAGTAACACTATATCACTGTTTAATCCAGTACAGTATTTGAAGTTCTCATTTTTGGTTTTGTGTTGCCCAATGAAGGCCTTTATATCCTCTATGTGATGTACAGTATTTGCATCTTTCACATATCATATTTGTTTCTAGTTCTGCCTGCTAGTAATAGGTTCTTTCAGTTGGATAAGCAGGACTAGCTGTGGGTCTTAATTGCCAACACTTTTCACTTTCAATAACTTAGCTTAAAGAAAGAGGCTGCATTCTCTTTAGTAAACATATGTAGTGGGCACCACTGAATACAATTTCAATGATTGTAGGGCCTAGCACCCTACTCTAAAGGTGTACCTTAAAAATATCGCCCTTTCCCATGCTTGTAAGAAGTATTTTGAACATGTGGAATGATTTGAGGTTGGAAAACAGGTTGTTGAATTTATTCACTTGGTGTAACTGTATTTCTTTGATAATGCATTAAACTTTTTAAGTGTAAACACCACACTTATTCACTTAAAGGTGTTGTTTAAGATGAAGGTTACAGGGGGGAAGTGCACTTGGCAGAAGAGCCCCTCTTCAACTGACCCTCCCAGATCTCATATAGTACTCTGTCTACCCCAAACATAACCATTTTCATTTAGATTGTCAGGCTCATCTGAGTGGCTCTTCCTCCAAGTGCACTACCACCCTGTAATGTTCGTCTTAAACAACACCTTTAAGTAAATAGGTGTGATGTTTATACTTGATTCTACTCTTCATCCACTCTACCTCCTGCATGCTGCTCCCACATAAAACATACCCCTACACTCTAATTTTTTTATTTACTGTATATCTCTATATTGCTGTAGAGTACAGTATACAGTTTTCTCAATTCATAAGGCAAATTCTGTTGTTTACTTATATATAACACTTTACAGTATGAAATAATCATATCGGTGAAAACATTTGTCGACAACCAGACTTATTCTGATTTTCAGTCGAGATTTCAATCTCTCATATTTTTTTATTGTTGTTGAAATAGTGTTTTACTAACCTTTTTATGCACTTAAAGATTGTAGTTGTTGAAGTGCAATATTATAATAACATTTGATTTTTGTTTTAAACAGTCCAGATAGGCAGTGTTATATCCAGACACCCCGAATTTTTTTCTTCGGACTTTTGCCTTTTACGGACTGGGGTCTGCCCCAATTAGTCCAGTGTATCGAGGATCTACTGTAGTAATTTTCTTAATTGCCACAAAATATTTGGCTGTTACTCCTGTGTAAGAAATGATGCACAGTAATTAAGTTTTTTCAGTTTCTTTTTATGACCAATGAATAAATTACCTTTACTTCATAGGTAAAAGTAAAATATTTGTTTTCTTTGCATATTTTGCTTCTTATATTTGCATGGATTGTATCGCTCTTTAAAGCAGTTTATGAATCGACATTTCCAAGAAAATTCCAATAGAATGTCTTGATTTTTACTGATGTATGAATTCCATCTACAACAGGGTTTCCAGGTGCTAATTGAGCGCGAGTGGGTTGAGTTTGGCCACAAGTTCAGTGACCGATGTGGTGTTGGTCGAAGTTGCGAGGATATTAACGAGAGATGTCCTGTCTTCCTCCAGTGGCTAGATTGTGTGCATCACCTCCTCTACTGGTTTCCTACTGCCTTCCAATTTAATCAGGCCTATTTGGTGAGTATTGTATATGAGGAAGACTTAAAAAGATGGTTAGGGTAATGGATATGCTGGAGAATGGAAAGGAAGTAATGGTGAGCATACATGGTCAGATGAAAGGTTTTAAAGACTGATTTAAAAAATGAGTAACTGGTAATTAGAAATATCATGAAATGAGCTGTAGAACAGTATTTGAGTATAAAAGGTACAAAGACTTAGGAAACTCAGAAAAAAAAGATGTAAGTGAATGTTTGACAGTGGGACATGGTCTGCTATGGTGGTATGGACAATGGACATACTGAGAATGGTAAAAAGTATGAAAAAGTGTAAATACAGATATTTTTCCTTCAATCATTACCATGCCTTCATATTTGCTGCTGTAAAAGATGTACAGTAATCCGCTTTTGGTAAAACCCTTTTACAAATTGTCCAAAAACTTGTTTACCAGTTTATTCACACAAAACCAGCATCACCCATCAGAAGTAGGACTTCCCCAAAAGCCACTCAGTCATGCACACTGCTACTTCTTGGATGTCCAATTCACTTGCTGTTAGTGCATCCTAAGGGCCATCACTCTAGCTTCTTGGTCTCCTCTTCCCCCTCTTACTATTATTACCCCAAAATTATACATTCCATTTATCAAACTTTACTTTCCATTCTCTCAATATTTCTGTGCTACCTGAGCAAACCCCCAATGTTCTCCCTGCCTAACTATTTGCATTCCTAGATATTCTTATTTATGTTAACTTTGGCATTTTGATTACTAGTGCATATATGTATATATATTATTTCCAGAAATATATTCTCATTAATGAGATTTATTATTTGACTTATTAACTTCTGCATATAATCTTTCTTTTTACTTCCAGGTGAAGTTAGCCCAGCATGTGTACAGTAATCTGTTTGGTACATTTCTGTGTAACATGTCCCAAGAGCGTGTCCAGGCTGAAATTGGGGATCGCACTTATTCTGTGTGGTCGCTTCTGAGGCTCAACCGTCACCGTTACACCAACTACCTCTATTGCCACACTCATCAGGTTTGTACTGGATACTATAACAAACCAGTCCCATTTGTTGGAGAGTCCATTAGTATAGTGCACTACTACAGTAATAGAAAGTGAATTGTAAGATAACTATAAAGTGAAATTAATTTCTCATCCGGTAATGAAATGAAATCGCCAGGAATTTTGCACATTTACATTAATGGCTAATACAAATAACTGTATTTCTCTGTAGTATTAGCTATGTGCACAAATTTAAACACAAATCTCCAGCTGTTTTTTTCCACTCGCACTAACATAAACTCGACATCTTTCAAGTGCTGTAACTAGGAAACTATGGACCATCAACATTTTGTCCTACTGTATTGACATTTTCCCTTATGTTATAATTGTCTCAAGTATACACCCTACAATTTATGAAAGAGCTTAGACAATCACCCTGTAAACTGTATCATGAAGATTTTAGCATTAAAAGACTAATATCATTTAAATCATACGTAAGTTAACACAGGGAGTAAATTTTTGTTACAACTGTACAATGGTGAAGGTCACAACAGGATTACTATTGCAAACAGTAGATTGAGTGAATTTCTGGTCTCCTCGGTACAGTACAGTATTGAATTTTGTCGACCATGTGTATGATGGTGGTGCCATAATATCAATACTTGTTTTGAAAATGATTAAAATTACAATTCTATGAATACTATTCTTATGCGACTTACTTAATAGTTAAGCCTTTTGTTCAACAGGTACTCTACCCTTCATGTCACACAAAAGATTTGCGGCTATGGACATCAGTCTACATGCCGGAGATGGGTGAAGTCACTGAAGACCCCAATACCAGCACTCACCTCAGTGTTGGTGAAGATGAGGTAAGGATTAGGACGCTCTGTGTCTTGTTTATGAACCGTTTGAGTGTGAGAGGTATGGTGCAAATGTAACCTTTGTATCAGTAAATGCTGTGGAAACCAGTGACACATGTATATGGCAATAATGTCAATAGTTTATATGAGGGGCTCTGGATCACAAGTTGCTAAGCACCAAACTTAAAAAATAAAAAAAATGCAGGTGAAGTTTAACATAGAAAATACCATATAAATTAAATCATTGCTTTTGGGGGGCATTGTGTAACTAAGTACAGTATCTCTAATTTGGTGTATAATACATACAGAATAAGGTAAAAGTCTGTTATAAATTATGATTACTAACTAATTAGGAGAGTGTGGATTTAAAGTTAGGATTTGAGGCCAAAAAATTTAATTAGTTATTTTTTGCTATTACGGTATAACATTACCTAGTTAAAGTTGATTTCAAAATTCATGAGAAAACAAACAAAATTGCATTTTTCTCTTGTGCAGTATAAGACATTTGTCATTCACCGATGTTACCAAAAATGGATTAGAGGCGACATGGCAATTGCGCAGCAGCAACGTTGGAACAGATGACAAACATGTCAATAGAAATATATAGTTCATACGCTGACAGCTGTTATATTTTAGTGTATTTTGTTCTGAGTCTTTTAATGAGTAAGATAATAATTATACTGTAACAGTGGTTATTTGGATTTATTATCGAGAGTAAAAGGTAACAGCGCTTTGTTTGTCCTCCGCACTGCCACCTCTTGTTCGCCCAGAAGCTCCGCCCACAAGTGTGTGACGTCAATGACAAACTGCTATACTGGTTGCTTCAGTAGTACCTCACAACAGGGGTTATAGTCATCATAAATTATAAAAAAAGATTTTAAAAGTTACACTCACATCAAAATGACTGTACATGTATGTACATACAGGTCCACAATCTGGTCCTTGACTCACCCAAGGGCAGAGGAAGGCTGGGGGAATTTAGTGGTATAAATACTGTAGCTGGTTTCTGGACCCACCTGCACTAGGCAGGTTGTGGTCTGATGCACCTTGTATGAAGTGGTGTCTTGGTATAAGTAGGGTAAATGGGTGATTGGTTGATATAGTGACAGTGACTGACTGATATTTTGTGTAAGGAACTTGGATGTGCTGAGATGTAGTATGGTCTGTGACATCATCCCTAGGATGGCTGAGGCATAATTCACAAAGCTAATTACATTTTTGTGTGGTGAGAACAGTTTTTGAAATGACCAAACTGTCTAAAAGACTACTGTTGATCATATATTTTATCTGAAAGTCCAAATAATGTACATGACATGATATTTCTGGCTGGAAATTTGACACACAAGTAAGTTTATAAAAGGATAAAGATGAATGAAGATGAGGATAATATTAAAGTACTGATGACATCCAGGGGTGTGCTGGGGCCAGTTCGGTCTGGTTAAATTTTGATTAGATCACTGAACTGTTTTCTGTTTTTTTTTTTTTTTTTTTACAAATTTTAGAAGGTAATATAAATTTATCTTGTAAAGAAGACTTTATTTTCCTTACTATTAATTACTATATGTTACACAAATTAGAGCTACAGGTACAGTACTCCTCGACTTACGACCACCCGGACATACGACCGCTGCAGTCGTATAAATTATTTTTCAAATTGCGTATTTTCGAGTTCCGACGTTAGTGATCGTGCTGTGTACTGACAAAATTTTTTTTTGTAATTCCCTTTAAAATGGCTGGCAAGCTTAAAAGTGAGAGTTTTGTGGTGCTGAGAAGAAGAGGAGACACCCATTTTAGATTTTCTACGTATTATTTAAGCATTTTCGACTCACGACCATTTCGATTTACGACCTGGATTTGGGTCCCTAACCCCGTCGTAAGTCGGGGAGGAGCTGTACAGAATTACAAAATGGTCTTTGGAAAGGCTAAAATGCATTGGCTTTCAGACCCTGCTGGGGAAACTACAGTAGTGCTTACCCCAGACCCCCTAGCTTAATGGCTTGTGCCATTGGCACTCACTGATTTACACCACCATCTGAATTTCAATGTTAATCAGAGCAGGTTGTTAAGAAACTGCCAACACACCCTGATGACATCAGTCATTGTACAGTCAGTTCTCCTATAATGCGGTAGTTGCGTTCCTGAAAAACACTTTATTATAGAAAGATCACATAGTACAGTTGACAATCCCTTAACCGAAATCCTTGGGGACAGAGGCATTTCGGATTTCGTAATTTTTCGGTTTTCAGAATGGTTAGGGTTTTTTTTTTTTTTTTTTTTTTTAGTTCACCCGGGCACAAGTCACTGACCCACATTGGGGCCTGGGGGGCGAAAATATATTAAAAATTATAATAATAATAATAATTCATAGGTCCAGGTCATGTTTCTTACTTTTGATCTTTTTCATTCTTGTATTTCTTTATTATTATTATTTTATTATTACAGTATTATTGTTATTATTGTTATTATTGTTATCATTATTATTTTATTTTGGTGTATTTTTTATTATAATTTTTATTTACTATGAATAATTATTATTATAATTATTATTACTATTACATTTTCGCCTCCCAGGCCCTGATGTGGTTAGTGATGGGTTTCAGAGCTTTTTGGTTTTCGGAATTTTGGATAAAGGGTTGTCAACCTGTAACCATTTATTTAATGGGATATATGGGGTTAGGACCATTAAGGGGTATACTGTAGGTTCAAGAACAACATGACTGACATGGGACCCACTCTCACTTTCATATGACTGTGTATTGTTAGTTTTTGTGTATTTTTTATAGAGTAATTGTGTTTTAGTTTAATAATATCATTCATTAATAGAATAGGAACATGACAAGGGGTAAAATGCTTGTCACTGTGTTAGTGTAGTTACTATGAGATAGAAAATGGAGCCGTGAAAGAGGGTGCTGAATGAACATGATGGAATAACATGTACTGTAGTGGGGTGTGACTCAACCACTTTTATGATGAAACATTTTTAACCATAAGAAATGTAAATATACTATAAGAATGTTTTAACAAACACAAGAAGAGAAGATGGTTGTTTGAGACAAGTGGTGGAGGAGATGGAGTCAGTCTGACAACGGAGGTGAGGCCTCATACCACTTTATCACATCTAATTTTTTTCAAGATTAATAATTTTTTTCTTCACTTCTACCACTACCAGAATGTTACACACCCATGCAACACATTGTAATTAAAAGCACTAAAGTTAATACTATACAGTACTTGTACCAAAATAAAGCACAGTCCGTGATAACAGGCGTTTGAAGTGTATGGAAGATAAACAAAGACTGCAGGGGTGGCACAACACCTTGTGTCATGCTACACTGAGATAGCAGCATAACTGTGTATTCATACTCGAGTGACAAAATTATGTTTACTCAAGTGTGTAATATCCAAATCGCATCTGCATTATAGAGAATGTGTTCCCTAATACATTCATCATGTTAAAAATAAATTGTGCTTTGAAAACACGCGTTATTGGAGAATTTACCGTACTGATAGGCAAGACAATATTTTGAGGTTTCAAAATAAAAGTAAAAGAACAGAATGGGAATGTGTGAGAGGGAAACAGCACAAGAAATATGCCAAAGTCAGAATCAACGTTTGAGGATTTGCAAAAGCTGTTCTCTTGCATAGTGGGGAAATGAATCTTTGGGATATTGATCCTCAGTTGATATTAGTTCTGTATGTGTGACACCTTCATTTTACAGTACAGCTCTGTTATCTCTATAGAATTATGTTTTCTTTCATATACCATTGAAAAGTGAACAAACGGTATTATCTGAAAATTTATACTATAATTAAATATTTTGTCTAAAATGAGTGATTTAGGTGTCAAGAATCATGAAATTAGATAAAATGACAAAATTTTATTACACTCCCTTCAATTTTTTTTACTGTTCAGTGAAAGGGAGAGTTTATTAATTAAGTGGATGTAAGTGATCACTTTAAAAGAAAACTTCATACTCTTTGAAAATCAGGTTTAAAATCCAAATCATGGCTTTTAGCATGTTTTGCAGGTTTTATTGATATTGGCTGGTGAAATTTCACCATCCCACCCTGAATGAGGGTCAACCCCCACGAATTTGCAGACAAGTTAGGGACTGTGAGTATGAAGGTGTGTGATAACCAAAGTGACTCATTAGGAAGAAAGTCTTCATGGGCTCAACCTGTACAAGGTTTAGAAAATCAAGAGAAGGATGATCTTAGGTTCAACCTGCACGAATTATTAGAAAATCAAGAAAAAGGATGAACTTTCGAGTTAAGTGTATTGGGATGGAAGAATTGAAAATTGCTGGTTTATCCTGAAATAGTGGTGTTGTCATGTAGACAGATATGGTATGTTGATTTACTGGTGGAGTTTATTTTGTAAAAAAAAAAATAAATATCAACAGGAGGAAGAGGAGGAGCCAGCTGCTGGAGGTGAACTCGTCAAGACTAAATCATGCGATGATCTCTTGGCGGGTACGTCTCCGCCACCTCACCACCCCTTACGACGGTCATCCGATCCTAATATTAGAGACAGGTTTGTATTGTTTGTTCAGCTTCATGATAATACAATGGTAGGCTTTAGTAATGAATTTTCATTAATCTTTTATGCCTGTTTATTCTTTGCTCATGGTACCTAACATCATGTTTCATGATGCTACCCTCACATACTTTACTTTACTTTGCATTTTGTGATGAGGAGTTGTCTCATAATTTTCTCTTGATGGTGAGAATGCCATAAACTTGGAAAGTATACCTTAGTAATGAGTGGAACAAGTTTGTTACAAATTTTGATTACTTGCCACTTGTGTGATGATCAAATTGAGATGGTTTATGTTGCATTACTGTACAGTTATGAAGACAATTTCATTTAGCTCATTCAAAATGTTTAAATTATTTATTAATAAAGAGATACCCCCAAGTATTTTCTCAATAATAATTTAAGTATTTTTTTTTTTCAGAAACATCTTACATTTTTTATGATTAATCATTTACTGTATCAGTCAATTGCATGGTTTGTCAGGGATAATACAGTGGGAGCCAACAACTAATTTAATAAATAATTAATAGAAATATGGTAAATATGAAAACAAATTATTACTATACCCTGTACTGTATTAAGCTCAAAGCAGTGCAACAGCTGAATAATTTTATTTTTAGTATAAGGAAATGAATAAATATTTAAAGGTCAACACTGAGCAGACATATGCAGAGATGTAAATAAATGATTCTCCATCACTAGACCTTTCTGATGGATGTTCACTTTGTAATTTTATTTATTGCTTTATCAGTAGCCTCTCATTATCCTGATTAAGCTCGCTGATCACAGTTTTTTATATTTAAGTTACAGAACATTGCCTATTTTATGCCATTAGAAGTGGCCCCTGCTTATCCAGCCACAGGTGACATCTAGGTCAGTCAGACTATCCTATGATGACACAGTGATGGAAGTAGTGCATTGTCTCTCAGGGCGCTGTGTGTTGCCCCAGATAATGTGTTGATGTGTTTTAGGTGCTATACAATGATCCAAGAAGACTGTCAGGGATTTGACTACTGAGGTCAACCTTTTTCATGCTAGATAAAGTGTCACTATAACACAGGTGAAACCAGTTTATCAAAGTGTCTCTTTTTCCCATTGTTTGAGAATAATGCAAATTTAATACTGTATAATTAATCCTGGCACTTGGATGCTAAGGAGTAACCTTGTCACATGGGATGCAGTATTCACCACCTTGCTCATTTGGCTGTAAATGGGTGTCTAACTTTTCAAGTTGAAAAGTTAAGGAGGTTGAGTGCAGTGTCAACCATGCTGTATCCTTGCATACCAAAGGTCTAATATACAGTGTGCTGTATCCACACTGTTCTTAATGGGCAGTCATGCCTATGAGACCCACTTTGACTTTGATAGCATTAGGTAAAATATCTTGCCTAATGTCATTGTTTTTCAAAACTTGAGAAAGTTATCAGTCTAAAGAGGAAACACTACACGTTCTCTCTTGATGGGAGCGAATCATTGAATGATTGTTGCGGGTAAAACCAGTGATGGGAATAGGGAGTGAAAATTATGCCTCCTCGGATTTGTAACAACTTGGATTTTGCAGCTGTTCAGGTCTGATACTAGTAATGTCCACCACTTGTTGAGTTTCAAAGAATATTGAATTGTATTATGTATTCATAAGAGACTACTTTTGTTGATCATTTATCTTAATTTTGGCTACTTGTCCACTGAAAGGCTATTCCTCCAGTAACAAGCACACATGATAGTGTGCTGAATTTATTGTTGAGTTTCCAATGCCTAATGCACAATGGTGGAGGGATTCCAGTACTTCCAAATTAGTAATCAACTTGGGAATCGCCTTTTTGTTCCATATCTGGATATGATTTTGAACACCACTGTCAGTTCCTTTAAATTAAAAAGTGTATTTGTTCAATTTAGGCATCACCCTTGCCAGCAGCACACAAAGACCATCTGTTACCCCATAACCCAAAGATATTAAGACAGTAATCCCTGTTTGGTGTTTGTATGACCTAATACTGGATTTAACTGTGGTACTAGAAATTTTGTGTGAATGTAATGAAGGTCAAGAAGGAAGTGCCTGCCTACTTTAACCCTTTGTGGTTATCCCTTGTTATATTACCAACAAATTAGAAAGATGAATACAATTCATATATTAATATTATTGGTTTTGTAAACTTTTCTGATGAATTTGATTTTTCAGCTGTCCAAACATGGCCATGCTCAACTCAGCACTTGGTGCTGAACTGGCTAATGAAGACACGGGGGCTATGGTTGAAAATGGCAATGAAGAAGAACCAGGTGTTGAAGATTATGATGCTTATGAAGATTCTACCAGTGAGCCCAATGGAGAAAGACTAAATGATGAATCTGAATCATTAACTTTGTGTGAACCTTCGGTTTCAGAATCTGAAATTCATGAATGTGTTAATGTAGTGCCTAGTGAAATTTGTGAGAATGGTATAGAAAATGGGGAGGAAGCAAGTGAATTATTGGGGCGAGAATGTACAGAAATAGAGGCAGAAGAAAAGGATAAGGAAAACACAGAGGACATAAAAAGAGAGGAAGAGGAGATGTTTCCTAATAGACATACAGTTAATGGTACTCGTCGGTTCCGGGGTTTGGCTGAGCAGTCCATTGAAGGATCCACAGATACTTTAGTGGCTGAGGTGGGAGTGATAGCTAGTGAAGAAAAGGTTCCTCAGGAGAAAAATAGTGAATTGATACCTTTAGTGAATGGAGAGTCAGGACAGGAGAGCCCCAAGTCATTACTAAATGGGAAATGTTGTCCCTTCATGAATGCCGTCTCAGGAGAGGAAAGTGAAGTGTGCACTACGACTAACAACAACCGCAAACCTCAGAAGAAAGGTCCAGTATCATCCACGTCAGAGAACGGTTTTGAAGAACGACTAGAAAAGAGGATTGTAAATGGTGTGTCAAATATGAGTGCTGTTATGAACAGTGTCACATCTTCAGGCTGTAGCATCTGTATTCAAAGTAAGAAATTATTGGATGAAACCGTTAATGGGGACTCCTGGCGAAGTGCAGGACTATTGCAAGAAACCTCTGTTATTGGTGGTACTGTAAGAGGGGTTACCACAGGACCAGGAAGTAGAGTGTCACTATATTCCACCCCAATGCACTCCCGGACACCTTCTTCATGTATACCTTCAACACCCTGTGAAGATAGGTAAGTCTCTTAACCCTGTATCTATTATTCTTGTACATTATTGAGAAAATGTGGACTTATTTTATTTTTTGAATCTCCTGTCAGCAAGGCAGGTGTCTAGTAGTCTGTGTTGTGTAGTCCATTATATATTTATCTTGTAGAGTTGCATTTGCAAAGACTCATATCACTTCTTGAAGTCTAGACATGTCTTGCAGAAGGGTATCCCTGTTTGGAGGTAGAAGCTCCAGGTGTTGTCAACTGTCCAGTGTGATCTTAAGTGGCTAAGGAAGCCTAGATCAGTGTTGTGACATGTCACATGAAACACTCAAATGTGCATGATATTTTACTTCAAATGCAATAAAATTATCTTGTATAGTTTAGTATATAAAGACATAACAGGTAAATAATATTACATTAAAGACAGTTTGCACAGAATTCCTGTAATTAATTCCTATTTCACAAATAGCTAAACATTATTTTCTGTGTTGATATTAGACACAAGGCACATAGCTATAGTTAAAAACATGCTTTTATTTTGGATTTTGGTCACATGAATGAGAAGGCTAAAAGTAAACAATGGTATTTTAAAGTATATTTATTTTTGTAAAAACGAGTTAAAAATCTCTAATGTTTAATATCATTGCAAGTAACTGAGACAAGACAAACCAACACACACGTATATGATTATCTGACTAATTTTCTGTACAGTACCTGAAGGTGTATGTGGTTGATGAACAGTAACAGTATCTGGATTTTATGTACACTAGTGAAGAAAAAGCTGCTTTACAGAGGTCATTGCTTCCTAACTGTACAAACACAAAATAAAAAAACTCGATGAGTAACTCCGGCAATCTATCATGAAAGTTTGTTGAAAGGTTATGCAAATATTCCAGTAAGTCCTTTTCCTCTGTAAGGTCTCCTGTGTCATCAAAGTCCAAGTCTGTCATGCCTGTGAATTCTAAGTGATTAGTATAATTTCTTGAAGATACTCAAATATGTCTTGTTAGAAGTGCAAGGCAAGAAAGCAGTTGGGGTCATGGAAATAGTGTTCCTATGACCCTGACTGTGTAGGAAATAGCTATTGGCTCTAGTGCTTCGCTTTGAGCATAAATTCCATGAATCGATAATAATCAATTGTTCTGTATAAGGAAATGGGCTCATTCATTGTGAGCTGTTTACATACACCAGTGCCTGATGTTCACTATATTTGGAAATGCATAGCTTCTTGAATATGCAGTAATTCTGGTCACAACCTGAAGCTTGGAGACAAGTCTTTTGATGACAAACTGCGTCGATGGATGTATGAGTATTTTTGCGAGAAAGCATTTATCTTCTATGGTAACATGCCTTACAGTTAGTAGTTCCGGAGATCTGGGGAATTTGAATTTTCCCTAGACACATGGCCTATTAAAAGGGCTTTGACCCTTGCAAAGACTTACGAACCAGTGAGCATTTCGTGACCCATCATGGTGAGGCTTATGACTACTTTTGGTGGTCACGATTTCAGGTTTGGAAGCCCCTTTACTACTTCTCTGAGAGCACGAAGTTCAGGATCATTCAACTCCTGTATTTCTTTTCTTGTAATATTGTTACTCAGAAACTTCCATCGGCATTCTCATTTGTAATTGCAAAAAATATATTTCAGAGGGAGGTTTAATCTTCTGAGAGATAAGTTGATGGCCAGGTAAAGGGCCCAGGGACTAACTCTATGAAGTCATGGTTAACTTTAATTAATAGCCTGGCTGGCCTTGGTCGCCATTGCAACTTATGGTGGGAGAGTTAATGGGGTTACCTCTTCTTATTTTTCTGTCTTTGGTTATGTCAGAGTGCAGCACTTTTAAGGTGTCTTTTGTGCACTTATTGATCATCAGTCTCTATAAGTCCCTCAGTGAATCTTATTTCTTTCCTGTTTGTCTATATGAGGTTTAGAATTTTCAAATGGAAGTGGAGTAGATAAGCACAATGGTGATGGTGGTTAGAGATCTCTTGTTATTGTGGAGTATATATAACACTGCTGGGGTATTGATTCTTGCAAAATGTAATCATTTTTGTGATATAAGTGGTGTATACATAAGTGATATAAAAAATCACATGAACTTGCTGACGTGCTTAGAAAGTTTGGTCTTTTTACGGCAACAAAAGTGCTGAGAGGTGGTGAAGTCTGTGGTTACTCGCCCAAAATGAACCTCGCCTAGAGTGAGGCATTCCTCACAATGTTGTTTCTTGGGAATTACGTATCTATTGCTTTAGTTTTATGATAGATCTAACCAGTTTAGTGAGTTGTAGAAGAATTTTTCAAGGTTCACAAAACTTCTCCAAACAGAGATGCCATAATTTACATATCATGGCTTCTAGGACTAGAGGTTAGAGGGGGATAAGTACAAAAAGTGTATATGTTTGTAATCATCCACTCTTATAACAAGTTAGTAAGTTAGTTTAAATAATATTTTCTGATGTGTTTAAAATAACAGATTGACTGAATTAGAAAGTTTTAACCCTTCTTCAGGAAGAAAAATAATAGTTTCGTACAGCACCTGTACATATATTTTTGGTCACTGTGAACATTGTGAAACACAATTTATTGACCCTTCTAAACTTAATGTATTATTTCTAAATCCATTTGGAGAAGTACCTGTATAATATAATATTAAATAGCATACAGTATCTAATGTCAGTTCTATAGCACTGTTGATCTTTATGCAGATGTAATTTGATTGGTGGAAAATTGCCTAAATGTTTAAGCAAAGTCTGAGCATCTTCAAGATGCTAATTTTATAAAGTCCATCTGTGACAAAAATAAGGCAAATTTTCCTTTAAGTACAGTACAGTCCATTCTTCTATAACACGGCAGTACTGCTCCTGAAAAACACTGCATTATAGAAAAATAGCATTTTAGTAACCATTGATTCAATGTGAATTAAGGGGTTAGGGGGTTATAGGTTCAAGAACACCAACAACTTTCATATTATTGTTAGTTTTTAAATATATTTTTTTATAAAAACTGTTTTAGTTTAACAATAACATTCATTAATAGAATAGAAGTACGAAAAGGGGAAAATGCTTGTTACTGTGTGTTGCTACGCGTTAGAAATCGGAGCCATGAAGGAGAGTGCAGAACTTAAATGACGAACTAATACATAGTAGAGTGTGACTCAACAGCTTTTAATGATAAAACCTTTTTAAATAATAACATTTTTAACCACATAAGAAATGTAAATGAACTATAAGAACATTTTAACACTCCACAAGAAGATAAAATGGTTGTTTGTGATGAGTGGTGGAGGAGGTGAGGGTTCATACCACGTTATCACATCTCATTTTTGTTCAACAGTTTTAGCTTTTCTTCCTTTTACTTCACTACCACCACTACCAGAATGCTTCACACCCTTGCCACACATTGTAATTAAAAGCAACGAAGTTTAAATTGTACTAAGATAAAGCACAGTCCACGATAAAATGTCTGATGCGTATGAAAGGTAAATAAAGACTGCAGGGGTGGCGCACTGCCTTGTGTGACATAATTCTGTTTCCTTAATCGCGTTATATCCAAATTGTATCTGCGTTATAGAAAATATGTTGTTCCCGTGTAGGATGACTAGAATCGGGGGCAAATACATGTACATTTTCTCCCTTCCATCATTATCACCCATTTATTCTTACGGTTGTAATAGATGTGTTGTGCTGTGGTACTCCCCTTCCACAGCAAAACCTTAAATATCCATCAGGTTTATTGTGGTTTCTTCACATGGTTTGGCCTCACCACATCAGCAACATACCCTCCTCTAAATATTACTCGGTGCCTTACTCTCTGCACACTGTTGCTTCCTGGAAAGTCATCCCTTTCACTGCTGGTACATTCATCACTGTATCTCTTCGTCTCCTTGGTCTTTGTCCTTTATACTATTCGCCTCTTGTTATCACTCACTTCCTATTCTCTCATTATGTCCGTACTACCTGAGCCTACCTTGATCTTCTCCTTGGCCAACATGTGTCACTACAATATGCTCTTCCATATTTCTGTATATTTATATGTTGAGAGTTGAAGATCCAGTATTTGTACACACACATACACATAAGTACATAATACAAAATTTTCATTAAATTGTTTTATGACAGACATTTATATTTATATTTTGAATTTGCTTAGCTGAACTTAGTAATTTTTATTTAATATATCCTTTCCAAGCCATCAGAGTAACTTTCTATGAAATCTTTGTTTATCTCAGGGAGGAAAGACCATGCCTTGTTAGCTAAGAGGAGATTTAGAAGTCTTATATATAATGCCCATTTCCCACTCTGTAAAGTTGGTTGGTGATAGGAAGAACATCCAGCCATAGAACATTCCTCAAATTTGTCTGATGACAATCAGAACACTACTCCTTCAGGGAATCACAGCTAACCCACGCAAGCATCGTACATGGCCGTAAAGCCTGATGATGATAATGATTAAAATTGTTAATAAATGTAATTACAGAATGTAGTGCTAAGAATGTTTTATTTTGCAGGTTTGGCAGTGGTGGGGAGAGCAGCAGAGGCAGTACCTATGCTACTGTTGATGGTCTGCACAATGTTAGTGATGAAGTGACAAAGAGATTACACCAAATCTTACTTCATCATCAGGTATGACACAACTCATAATTATGTTGAAATTTGTTTCATGGGTGGTACTGTATAATGCAGTACCTGTACCTAAATGTTGACCGAGTCGAAAGCCTTGGCTAGGTCGATGAAGGCCATGTACAGGTCACGACGCTGTTGTCTGCACTTCCTGTGTCTGGCGGGCAGCAAAGATCACATCAGTGGTGCCTCGTGATGGTCTAACGTCACATTGAGATTCTGGGAGGAAGTTTTCCGCCTCAGGAAGACGTCTGTTTCGGAGGACTCAGGTTATAATCTTGCCAGCTACTGACAGCAGCGAGATCCCGCGGTAGTTGCCACAGTCTGACCGGTCTCCCTTGTTCTTATAAATATTGACAATGGAAGTTTCTTTAAGAGCTTGGGGTATTTCCTCCTTTTCCCATATAGTCTCCAGGAGAGAGTGGAGATGGCTGGTAAGCAGAAGTCCTCCTGCTTCATACACCTTGGCTGGGATTCCATCAGGTCCTGAGGCTTTGTTATTTTTCATCTGTTTGATGATAGTAGCTACCTCATCCAGAGATGGAGGATAGATGAGGTGGGTCAGCTCTGGAAGCTGAGGGACCTGCTGGGTAGTCAGGACATCCACATTGGTGTTTCGATTGAGCAGCAAATGGTAGTGATCTTTCCAGCACTGAAGAATGCCTTCTTCATTTTTAATTAGGGAGTTACATCGGATGAGAGGAGGGGGGCTGCACCACGAGTGATTGGTCTATAAAATGTTTTAGTGGAATTGAAAAAATCACGGATCTTATGTTGATCTGCATGCTTTTTGCATTTCACATTCTTTATTTTTAAACCAGTCTGTCTTTAGATTGCAAAGTTCGCGCTGCAGAGTTATGACTAGAGACTCCCGGCAGTCATCTCTGCCTGTCCCCGTTGCCACTCATCCGTCGCCACAGGACTTGTGGGGGTATAGAGATTTTGATGATGATGAGCTGTGCGTGAGTTGATTTATGTGGTGAGGCAGGAGAGCAGACTGCAACCACACATCTTGGCTCTCCCTTTACCTGATCCAGTGTTGCAATGACTGGGGAGAGGGAGAGTTGCAATGGACTGCCGATGGCCCAGTTTGTTGGGTTTCACCTTCGTAGACTGTCCATCATGATTGCCTTCATCCAGCGGTGTAGTCTTTGGGTTCCCATGGTGGTCACCTCTTCCGCCTATACTGCCGTTGGGGTCTTGTTGGAACTCTGAAAGCATGTCTGCCTGATGCGGGGCTCCACCACAAATTTTTCGCTCGGGGTTTGCTCCCGTAGCCTTATACCTACCAAGGTTAATTTGCAAGGCAGCGGGGCGACCCGGTGGGTGATAGTCGCCAGGACGTGTCCACATGTCAGTGGTCCCATGCGCTGTCCTTCTGGGGTCCACTGCTGCTCCGAGATCCCCTGCTGGTCTAACCTCGGCCCACCCAATTGCCGTCTGTTCCCACGGGGAGGCACAGCAAGAGTCTTGATTGTGAAGAGGCTGTGTACTGGCAGGCGAAGACAAGTGAAAGTTTCTTCCCTGTTCACCACGAGGGTTAGCCAGCGGAAGTAGCTGAAAGCGAGAGGGAGCAAGCAGCACTTGAACCTTAACACTAACTTAATGCTGCCACACTAGATGCATTACACCACCTTGTGCACACACACACACACACACAGACAGACAGACACACACCTAACACAAAAATGAACAGTTAAGATAAAAATCTCCAAAAAAGAAAGAAGTACAAGCGACGGGGGGATGTTCAGAGGCAAGCGAGATGTTCAGCGTTGGATTTATGTGGTTGGAAGTTTTGCGTCCATCCTTTAATATAATAATGGTTGAGAATGTCCCAAAACTAAAACCCTGCTCATAGACCTACAAATGAAACGTTGATACGGCTTCTACAAGACTGTACCTAAAGATGTCAGGGTAAGTCACCATATCAGAATAGTGCCATAGGTTTGAAAGTACAGTCTCTCTCCCCATGGAGTTGGAAACATCAAGTGGCACAAAAATAAAAATTATACGGTCCTCCACTAATTTTAAAGTGTTGTCTAAGCAAAAAACGAAAAGGCTACTCTCTCCCACAACATATGGAGGACCAGTGGAGCCAAAAGATCATGGTGGATGTCCCCCACAAGATTAAAAACATTGGTTGAACTCGAGAGACAAGTGTTAACCTTTTCCCTTTCTGTCCTTAGTCTTCTCTTGTCCTACTCTCTTCCCACCTAGCCTCTTTATCCCTCCCCTTGTACTCCTTCTTCCTCTTAAACTTCCTCTTGTTCTTCTTCCTCCTTGTTCTTCTTCATCCTCATGATTTTCTTCCTCCTCATCCTTTTCCTCCATAGTCTGTCGCGCGTTTTTTCTCAGCTGAGAAAAGATGCCCCGCCCCCTCCCCAAGAGTTACAGCTGATTAGCTGTTGCAAACCTGTCCAATTTTGTCCTGAAGTAATTATGTATTCCTAAATGAGTTTATTCATAATCGTTGGGATGACTGTTTCTGATGAGAAAGATATTTAGCTAAATTATATAAAGATACACACATTCATTATTTCAAACATAAGTACGTAGGAAGTTTATCACAAGTATTGTACATGAATTGACTGTTAAACTCTGGTCGCAAATTCAGGCTTTCGGAGGATGCATTTAATATATACTTATTTTTACCAGCATAACGCATACTAAGACAAATTATGTATCAGTAATACTACATTATGCAAAAACAACATTTTAAAAGATCATAATCACATTGAAATATTACATGACCGTTAGCAGAGGCGGGAAAAATATGAAGTTGTTCGCAGTCATTTTTCCCGCCTCTATTCACTGGGTTTGGTCTTGTCAAGTGGTTTGTCTTGTTCACTTCATCATGTATATTCCTTAAAGGACAATTAGTTATATTATACTACACCCAAAACCATACTGAATAGACTCCAAATACAGTAGTTGAGTTGATGTATTCATGTTCGTAAACCATTTTCAGTCTGAGGTAGAAGCTCTAAAGCGAGACCTGCAAGCCACTAGACAGGCACTGTGTAACCAGGTTCTGCACAACCGCTGTCACCACCACCACCATGACCCCACTGAAGACCAGGTTAGTAGTGCGCTGCATACAGTACAGTATGTATTGATGTGTTTTGTGATTTACCGTAAGTTGCAGCATATAAGTCGACCCGGCGTATAAGTTGACCTCAAGATTTTTAGTTCAAAATTCAGGTTAAGGCTTTTACTTGCCGTATAAGTCAACCCCCCAAGGTCCAAACATAGGCTAGGCTAGAACTGAAATGTGGATATAGCCTATGGCACCTTGATAGTACCGCTATATTTGGTATGATAGTAGAACATACTGTAATGGTACACCTGGCTTACTATCCGCCATTTGCATCAGCTGGTGTAAACAAACGGCCAGTGGCGCCACCAACACCACGCAGCCAGCTGCGAAACTACGGGTCCGTTACACTGTTGGCACACAGCTTAGACTTAGACTGTCATCCCATATCATAGTACCGGATAGTTGTCTGGCTGGCGGCCTGGGTTTAGTGGCGTTCTGATCGATTGTTTACTGTGCATCAGCTGTTGGAAATGGCGTGTGGTGTTGTGTTCGTTTAATTATAGTGGAATTTACTATTTTATTATGATCTCTATGTTAAATAAGTTTACCAAGCATGAATTTCAGTAGGAAATATTAGTGGCAGGCCATGGAGTTACGCAAAATGACGCACAGCGAGTGTTAGGCAGGCTGTTCCACTTGTTTACCACTTTGTGGTAAAGCTTCACATTTTATACTTGGCATACAAGTCGACCTCTGGTTTTGGAGATATTTTTTCAAGCTTAAAATGTCTACTTATACGCCGCAACTTGCGGTATTTATTTTGTATTAATGTTCTTAATTATAACGGTGACTGATTAAAACTGGAGCGAAGCTTAAAATTTGTATAATATCCTCGTTGAGTTTTATACACTTAGGGATTTTTTTTTATGTAAAAAGCTAATTTTTGTCATAATAACGCTAGAGAAGTTTAAGGTAAATTTTAAAATCTTTTAATTTCATCTCAATATTTCTCTCTTTTAAGATGTCCCTGCCAGAAAGTGTAGGGTCAGGGTCTGGTGGATCTGTGGGTCAAGAATCTGGAGTGTCAGACACTTCATGGGAAGCTGTGGAAGAAGGTGAGGCTCGCCCCACACTCTGGGTGCCAGACCATGCTGTTGACTCCTGCACTGGCTGTAACACACAGTTTTGGATTGGCCGACGCAAGCACCACTGCAGGTCAGTCTCCAGGTGAAGGAATTGTCTTTTTTTATTATTTTTGAATAAATGAAAAGTTGCTGAGTTTTATCGGCGCAAGATAACGTTTAAGTTCTATGATTTAAGGCAAAAGGTAAGACTATATGCAAAAACTATGGATTATAATCTACGTGAAATTCAATAATTTGTATGTACCAAGTTATTCAGCATTTTTTCTTCTAAAGTTAATTGCGATTTGGCCTAGTAATTTCCATTAGTTTTATTCCCCAGAACTCAATAAGTGGTTGTTAGTGTTTTCCTATCTTAGAATATATATACCAGCATAGTAATCTCCCCTTTAGCCGACAAATTGTTCAGAACGTTTCCGCGTTTGAGAGATTTCCGGATACGGTACAGTATTGCCAAATTTTCTTATCTCCGGAAAGAATCGCACATGTAAGGAGTTTTTCTGGTCACTGGTGAAGTTTCCAAGTTGGAATGAAGCCGGACAGACACACAGCTGTATTTATTTATGCAAACACTACTGTACACATTCAATACAGTGTACGTACAGTATTGTAAATAAATAAAATATACTGTACTACTGTATACAGTATACTATACTGTACTCACCAGCAGTGGTTGTCAACTTGAGCTTGTGATGCAGGCAGCCCAAATAGTGATATGATGATACAGGATGGCCTGCCTTTGTTCTGTAGCAGATGTTGCTGTCGCTCTCCTCTCCCTCCATGGAGGGATTGTACATACACCCTCTACACACTAGCATACACTATCTACTCTGTTATGTATGGTATAGTATACATACAGTAACTGTAATCGATTTTACGTCTTAGCACTGCTATAATGGTATTTCTGGCTGATCATGCGAAAACAATAGTGAGCGAGTGAACAAGCTTGTAAAATGGCAGCTAACATTGAACTAATAGTGTCATGATGCTAGAGTTTAAAAAGATAGGCTGCAAGATACATTAGCCAGTCTTAGGCATCCCATGCAGTCACATGGCAGTAGTATCTCTTGAGCACTCTTGAGCCTACCTACCTATGTGCTTGGCACATGTCGATGCATTATGTAATCTTTGGGAAATTCATTTGAATGCGCACAATTTCTCAGAATGCTGAAAAAGGGAGGGGAATGGAAATTCCCGGGGAACTAAGATTATGGCTAACGGGGAGATTACTACTGTATATATATATATATATATATATATATATATATATATATATATATATATATATATATATATATATATATATATATATATATATATATATATATATATATATATATATATATATATATATATATATATATATATATATATATATATATATATATATATATATATATATATATATATATATACTGTATATATTTTTCTAAAATTTATGGTCAAATTTTATTTTGATCAAACTTATCCACTAGTTTTAACTAAACTTGGTTTCTTAAAGGGTATGAATAAAAAGTTAATGTTTCTATAATATCAGGATGATAGGAAAAAAATAGTGGGGGAGGATAACTGATAGGGTGTCCCTCTACTACAGTATTTTGGATTTTGAGGTCAGCATTGATGCTTTTTAAGGGTATTATGAGTTCCAGATTTTTATTTTTTATTTTTCTATTGTTGGGCTTTGGGGAATATCTTTTACTTACTGGCCATAATACTTGGTGCAAACTGCAAAATGCAGGATCAGATTCATTGTGTGCTGAGTCCTAATTAACTCCTGCTTCTTGTTTTAATATATTACAAGTGCTAGAATAAACCATCACCTGTGTACAGTATATGTAACAAGTCATGTAGGAAACATTCCATCCAGAATAATGATGCAGATAATCAGTGTGATGTTTTCCTTCATTATAAAAATTTGGGGGATTTTTTTGCAGGGATTATTATACAGTACTGTTTCAGTTATGGTAATATGTTGGGGTAGTTGTTATACTTCCCCAGATTCTTTAGTTGAGTTAAGCAGCACCATTTTCTGTCCATCTTTGTGTTCTGGATTTATTGTTTGGTTCATCACTTCCTTACTAGTTAAAACTTTAAAGAAATTACTTGAATACTGTTTGTATCTTAGTAAGATGTTGCTATGTACTAGATTCTCAATGATGCATTGCAGGTTAGTGTCACAGACGGGGGCAAATGTCTGTCTTGGAAAATATCCTTGATTTCCTATTCTTGTGGGACATTAAGTAGTTTCACTATCCTTATTTTCTGTTGTCTAAAGAAAACTGTATAAATTCTGAAGGCGATTGTCCTTCAGGCCATGTAATCATATCCTCTAAACTGTATTGTATTCTAAAATTTTGCTGGACCGTGTACAGTTTATGTTCATTGGACAATTATGATTGGATTTAAATATTTTTATCTTTCTTGAACCCTTATACCTCAGACCTTCACTTATAACCTGCCTGGCGAGGATCAAACTAGCCTGGCTGCTCCTAAGAAACTTGCATTTAAACTGCTTAACTTTATGCATCTAACCTGGGAAATATTTGATTACATCATCTCTTTGGAAATCAAGGCATTGTAACCTTTTGGCTTAGGATGTCCACACTAGTTGCTGTATATTGCAGAGATTGTTACCTACTATTAGTTAAGCTTAACTCATGTTGCTTATTTCTCTCTTTGCTTCTTTTTTCACTTGATTTATCATATTTTAACATTGATCTATTAAGGGCTTTACTAAAAAAAAAGTGTGGTTGCATGGATTTAAAAATACTGTTCACAAAAGCCTTCCCAGGGATGAGGATAGCAAATTTTAAGAGGCCTTGATATTAGGAGATCAATAATTAATATACCTTAATGATCTAGAGGATTTTTGCAAGCTAAAGGTCATAAAAGACTCTTTAGACATTTGCATCAGAGTATTGCAATTTAGAAAGAGGTTAGTTTTTAAGATGGATCGTGTTAAATACGTTTGAGCTTCAGGTGTATTTTACAAGTAATTTTGCAGTATTTCATTGGCATAAATTTATAGCATTTATTTTAGAATACAGTACAGTATACAGTACCCATTTGATTATGTATGTATATGTAAAGTTTGGTACAACTAATTATGTTTTGCCATCATAATAACTGTGAAGGTTTTAAAGTTAGAGAAATTAAAGTGTCTTTCTTGTTGATATAGCGGATCATCTTGTTCAAGTGTTCAGCCACTCGACCAACAGGAGGTAGAGCAACGGTTGTTTATGTCTGCTGGTTCTCACTAATACTGAGCTGTGCTGCCATATGTGTGATCACTACTAATATGAGTGATAATGGCAGAATATAACAAATGCTATTTTTTGTCATAGCAAGTTTTTCACTAATTTTTGTTTTGCGTATTAAGTTTTACGCTAATTGATATTTTTTTCTTCACATTATCGAGTTGTTTACTAAAACTTAACTTTTTGTTTAAACTTTGGAAATTATATTCCTTGATAGTATCTAAATTATAATGCATGAAGACAGAAAGAGGCTCAAGATAGTCTTTTTAAGAAATCACTTAGCACTTAAACTGCTTAAGAGTAAAGTTGAAGAGTAGATAAAGGTGTCCCTTAATGACAGAGCATCTTGGTTAGTTAAATGAAGGGTTGTGAAAAATTTGAGAAATATTAAAAGTTTTGAGGTGTGTTTGGAATTGCACTGGCTTCCAATTAAAGCTTGGACAGAGTTCAAACTTTGCCTAATGACTTTTAAGGCATTTATGTTTGATTAGCTTAAGTATTTGTCCAACTTATTAAATCCTCAGACCACAAGCTCTGAAATGATTTTGCATAATAGAGATGGTCCCTCAACCTTGAGGAGACTAGAACAGTACAGTACGGGAATGTTCTTTTGCTGCCCGATCCTTTTCCTATACAGCACCCAGATTGTACAGTTGGTTGCCTGCAGCCATGAAGCAGCTGACTTCTGTTGAGGCCTGGTGAGGCCTTTTGAGAAACAAAAGACCAGCTATTATTATTTTTTATTATTATTAGTGTACTGTATTATGCATCTGCATATTCAATGGTTTATTCATTAATCAGTTTCTCAGTGTGCAAGTAGCCAGATTGAGCCATCATTTATCACTCAAAGGTAATAAATAATCTTGTTAGGAAGGTTTATATCCATATCAAATACTATACAGTATGTTATAGTGACTGTTGTAAGCTGATTTGATGACAGCTCTTACAGGAAAGCATCTTAAATGAAGACCTGATACAACTTATCCTTATATAATATCACAGACTAAAGTTAGGAGAAAATAATTTGCATTGCTGGAATCCTTGCAAGACAGCGAATAATTTGAATATAAACGTCATATATTTTGAACAAGAGATAAAAATTAATCGCCTGTATCACATTACAGTAGTGATTTAAGAGTTATATATATATATATATATATATATATATATATATATATATATATATATATATATATATATATATATATATATATATATATATATATATATATATATATATATATATATATATATATATATATATATATATATATATATATATATATATATATATATATATATATATATATATATATATATATATATATATATATATATATATATATATATATATATATATATATATATATACACACACATACATACACAGTCGACCCTCGTTAATTCGGACTAATAGGGGGGGGGAAGGGTGTCCGTTTTAGCCGATTGTCCGAATTAACTGATTTAGGGGTTAATATTGCATTATATTTCAAAGAAAATGCAGTGAGTTTGTCCTTAGCCTTGCATACCGTATATACTCGTCTATAACCCCCCCCCCCCTCGTTTATAGGTCGACCCTGTTTTTTGACCAAGAAATCGTCAATTTATAATATTCCTCGTTTATAGGTCGACCCACGTTTTTGAGGGTAATGGAACAACAAAACCTTCAGTAAAAACACTTTATGTCCTATAAACTGAGGCTCGCCATGCCTGAAACACCGAGTGCCGAAGGCAAATTGTTTCCCATTTATTATTACGACACTTTACACTGAAACGCAGGTAGTTTCAACAAAAATATTGTATATTTCCATTCAAGTATTTATTCAAG